CCTTTGAATTTCACGGTGGTGAAGCTCCTGCCTATGGGTCATGACGGCAGGTCGTAACGGCGCTTACTCGGTGAAATGTCCTCGAGGTCACGTAGGTGGTAACTGACAAGAGTCTAAGTTTACTCAAATAAATATCCATTTCTAAGAATTACTTTAATGAATGTCATGATCTCTTGTTTCTGCTCAGGTAACTCCAATGGAGATTGGATTGGTAAACGGATACGATGAAGACGGAGCTCATCCTGACAGAATGTAACGGCTTCAGGCTTGTTCTTAGCAAAGTGAACATTGAAGCGGCGGCTTCTTTTTTAGTGGTTTGGTTGGATCTGGATTCAATAACCTGGCGTGAAGTTACAACGTGATGACCCAGTACTTTTAAGTTTGAATGATTTGCTGGAAAGTAACGTGGTCAAGTCAAATGTACATTTGTAATTATTCTACTGTAGTCCAATTGTAGTATTCGTCTCTTGGTGTACACTTTTAGATTGAAAATTGTATTCTTTGTTCAATAAACTTGGTTGTTCCTAAATCCTGATTTCTCACACTCAAATGGTATGTGCACCTCAAAAGGATTCTTATAAATAGTCCTCCCAAATTAAGCGTGCCTACCCAAACTCAATGAATTCCAATCCTCCTCTTTTTGTATCATGGCTTCCAAATCCTTCTTCACTCTCGATTGATGATTTTGGTAGGGAAACGACTAACAACCTTAACTTATAAGATACCGAATCCTGATCTTGGATTTTAACGAGATATAGTCGAAAACTGCATCCAAAGACATCTTTGGTGTATTGATCCAATAATAGTTCAAGAGCGAAAGTAATGTTAGTAAATAAAATAGATAACATAATAAATATGATAAATATAATATTAGTAATAATAGTCGCAAAACATAAATATTAAAATAACGTCAAATAATAGAAAAATGCGCAAAATGAGGTGGCATCTTAAGGTCAAAAATTAGGGTGCGACAAAAGCGTTGACCACATTCTCCAGGAAGAGATTACGGTTGAAACATTGGTCTTGGTATTCCGACCACCAAACTTTGAAAGCTTTAGTGGTGAACAAAGATGGTTGGAAGGAGAAAACTGGAAACTCTAGACGCTGAGTCAACCTAGAAAATTTGAGGAAGCCCTTGTGATCTGCCAAGTTTAGCTGTCGACCAGCCCATACGATATCAGAAGTGTGTTGCACCAAAGACTTTGGCAGCATTTGGCTCAAACCAAATTGTTGGGCCACTAGATTGGGATAATAATTCATGAATCCAAAACCATTTTTCCCCGTCTCGATTCGAAACGGAAACATGGTAGGAGTCAGGAATGCCCGCCATATTGAATTTGACATGGCTACTGTCTTTGGCGAAGCACTAGGAAAAGGGTTTCAGAACCATGACGGACCAAACCGTGGGTGCACGAAAGGGGCCATGTCGGGGACAAATATGTTTTCCTCAGCAAACATAGTGAGATACTTCATAAAAATGGTTTTGTTGGGGGTCTCCTGCATAGTCATCAAGGCGAGTCGAACGCCTTCGACTGAACAATCTTCGTCAAGATGTTGCATGGTCGCAGACACGGGATGACCCATTTAATACTCGAAAGTGACATTGAGCCAATGCTGTAATAACCACATGGGCCCTGAGATGTTCAAGGATTTGACGGTATCATGGAGAATTTTTATTCTCAAGGCCGACAGGCCAAGAGAATGGTAGAGGGAAGATAACAACAACTTACCCAAAGAGACCTGCCGGACCTCGTGTATTTGGATTGCCAAGCTGATGTAACTCTTGGCTATCTGTAGAGAGCTAGGACATAAAAGGTAATAAGATAGCTAGAGAGTCAGGAAGGCAATGTGCTCTTCGTCTGACACGTCAGCAGAACCTTTGTCATGGTGATCTTCTATGTAGTTTTAGAAGCCAGCCCGGTCGAAGTCGAAGGTAGCATTCGTCTCCAGAGTTGGGTCGAATGTTTCACCTAGAGGGGAGAGACCTGTAATGGCTTCCACTTCGAAGAGATTCATCGTCAACATGCCACAAGGGAAGTGGAACATGTTGGTCGAACCTTCCCAGAAGAACATTGCAGCCAACAGAAGACAATGGTTGACCCTGTGTGCGTTCCTGGAAAGTTGGATAACATCGAAGATGCCAACCATTTTCCATTGGTCTTGGTGTTTGTTCTGGACTTTGTTTAACTAGAAAAATGTAATCCTTGTTGCCTGAGGTAGGCATCGAACGGAACGCACGGGCTTTGGGCGCCATGAATTTTAAGTCGAGAGTACCCCCTTTCTGGAGAGCAGTGGGGATAATGGCCAAAAAAAAAGGAAAGAATGTCTGTAGCTCCTTGTGGCTGGGATTGTTAGCGGGATATGGCCCATGGAAAACATGCATTTTTCCGACAACAGTGAAAGGGATGACCATCTGGCGTTGCCATGCAGCCATCGCCGCTTCATCAGCCGACGTGGGATTTCGGAGGGGTCTGAGAGAGTCAACTTCAAAAAGAACGAATGCTATAGGGTTGTTACCAGTGGTGTGAGTGTTGGAAGTGGTGGAAGAAGCCATTAAAGTGGGAGTTGGAGAACTTTGAAGACGAGGATTTTCAGAGAAATGGAAGTAAGAGAAGAGTGGAAAAAGAGAAACAAAAGGCGAAATAGGTTATTTATAGGCAATGTTGCGTACAGTTGAAAGGCCAAAACATTTTTGATTCTGAAAGTTAGTGGGGGTGGTTCAAAGACTCGGGACATTGGGATGTGACCAACACGATTAGTTATATCTTGCAAATTGTGGCGCATAAAGGCGCTATCATTACTTCAGACTGTGGGTGACGCGTGGCTGAATCGATGGAAAAAATGATGGTTTTTTGTTGTGTCATAACCAAAATACGATCGAAATTCCATAGAACCAAAACGTCCAGTTTCTTGGTCGACAGAGTTTTTCGTCGAAATTGGGTTTTGAGGGGGCATATTGTTGACTGGAAGTTTCGACTAAAGAGAGGTGACGCAAAGACTGACTGGCGGGTCGACAGGTTGGGGAAAGATGGTGAAGAGAATGAGGAGAGTTGACGTCGGCAGAAGAGGGTTGTTAGGATCGACTCAGGCGGTGTCGGTCGACTGACGAACAGAAAATCCCATGCAAGGAGGAGAAATATTCGAGTGGGAAACATATTTGAAATATGAGAACCTGGGAGGTTACAAAAGTGGTGGGCTAACACGTGGCGCCACCAACTTCAACATGACAGTTATTTTATTTCCCTATTTAAGGCAATGCCTAGGTTTCATTTAAGGGGCGCGTTTTTGTAATATTGTAAGAAAAACACTCTGAGTACCAAAGCGTTAAGAGAAAAGAGTTTTTCACTCCTGCAAAATGTATGATCGCGTCCATGTTTTCCTTTTAATAAGCAATTTACCGCATTAACTTTAAAGTGTCTTGTCTGGTTATTTTTTGGCTTTTTCTTGTTTACGTACTCATCCTTATTTAAATTTTAGTCTTTGCTAGAAGTAATTTCCAGCTTATTTCAAACAACATCATTCCACCATTTTCCCATACACCACAAGCGAAGTGTTCTATGACTCGTTTGACCGGTCCCGCAAGTAAACCTGCGCTAGGAGGTCAGAGGTTGTTCGCACGAAAACTGTGTACGAACAGCGGGCTGACCATGATCAAACGAAAGTTGGATGTTGCTTTGGTTCTTGAGCTTCTACGCTTGTATAAGAGAAAGAACGGGGGAGCAAAGGATTCCACAGACAACGTCACTGATCTTACTTGATCAGAAAGGAATCACCAACCTGCCACGCGTCGTGAGCTCTTGTGTTCACCGGTGTTGAAGAGGGAGAATGGGTGTACCTGCAAAGTACTATGATGCCTAAGTTAGTAACGGAGTTTAGAAAGAGCAAGTACAGAGAGAATAGGTGTGTAGAATGAAATACCTGACCCTCTAGTGAAAGAGGGTATTTATAATGTGCTCCTAGCGCAGGATCAACAGTTACTTTGCATTGGGTTGGATTGCAAGGCTTAATACGAGTAACTGTCATGACTTACGTAACGTAGGCAAGACCAACACGTGATATTCGCCCTAGATCAACTGCCCCGATCTTCGGATGGTGGGTTGACCAGTTCTTTCGGAAGTGGATAGTTGTCTAATGACGTGTTCCTGCACAGGGAGAACGTGGAGAAGACGCGTGAACTCTCCCTGTGCTAGGTAGTAATCTGTCCGACGACAGAGTTGAATATGCCCGACATAGGAGGATTGGATCTTGTTGAGTCTCTCCAACGTAGTTTTGGGTTGGACCTATTCGACTTTGAACAGGTCTCGACCCAGTCCAGAACATATATGTAAACCTATAAGATATTTTTCTCAAAATATAAGACCTACAAAGTTTAAGAAGCATTTATTACTCTTTATTTCAAATATATGTATCTTTTTACTAATTCTATTAAATTATATTGAAATATAATATATCAACATTAATATATTTGTCCTCAAAGGATAATTTAATAATATTCATACAGATTATGAAATTAACTAAACCACTAATTTTTTTTAACACCCTTAAAAGAATATCAAAAACTCTCTTAATAAGGGGAAGTATTATAACATTTTACTTATAAATAATCAATCATGCAGTTGAATTTATATTGCTATCATGACACCCTCTATATCACTCCATGTCATTTTCTCATCAAAATGTCATTTTCTCATCATCACCCAAAACATGCATTTCATGCCGCTAAAAGCTAAAGTAAAATTAGAAACTAAGATGCTTTTTGCCAATCAATTATTTGGTATAACTATACAAACACTGCCGAATCAAAATATCCTAAAATTGAGACAAAAATGAATATAGAAAATGGCTCTTTCATATGAGCTCACTTTGCATTTGAATATTATGATTGCATAACAAACGCAAAAACATCCTACTCCAGATTACCAGAATCCTTTCTTCTGAGAACCGAATGATTTAGACAAAACATCATCGTTCGAATCACGTTCATATGTTGGTGTAGCTTCCTAAAGCGGCATGAGTCTTCTGTATTTGAAGAACCATACAAATGCAGAAAATATACAAACTCCAATGACTCCGGTTATTATAAGGACCCATTGGAATGCAGATGGGACATTAAATAATGGAATTTCAAAGTTCATCCCAAATACTCCTGCCACCACTCCAAAGATTGCAACCACAAATGTTGCAGTTGTGAGCAAAAGCTCAAATTGGATAAGCTGATTCCGCACATTATCCTGCAACAAAAAATACATTACTATGCATTGTTCGTGTCAAAATGCGTGATAGATTCTTGTTTGATAAGTTATTACTTATAAGCAACATACAATAGGAGAGCCTTTGGTGACTAATATGAGAGAGAAGGAAAACAGAACACACCAGTTGAATGTTGATGAAATCTTCCGTGTCATCGATGTATTCTTTTAGCTGAAACAAGAAAAGGGAAACGGTGATTCATAAAATGCGGTGAATTTGGAAAAAAAATGGGTTAATATAATGTGTGTTTACCGATGTCAACTTGTTTAGTGAGCTGTCAATGACAACAAAGTATGCTTCTAACAACATTTCAAGCTCTTCTATATTTTCTGTATTACTTTCGGTACTCCTCATGCTTTCGTGTCGACTCCTAGCCATGCTCAAGCTCTTATCTAGCCTCCGAGAGTCGGGTGGTGATGAAACAGGAGAGACTGGAGCAGAGATGGATGCACCATCAGCTGATCTATACCCAATCATAGACGGATCACCATAAAATGACATTTCCATCCGGCTTTTCTTCTCGGTAAGGTACATTTCAGCCATATCACCATCATCATCCATAAGCTGCTCTATTTCGTCTCTAACCTGAACATATATATACAAATCCACAATATTGACTTAGCAAATACGGTACATCATTTTAAATAGTGAAGAAAGAATAATCATATAATGAACATCACCTTCTGAACTCTCCTAGTCAAGGCAACAAGTCTGCTTTTCAACCGACGAACACGTTCCAAATTAAGAGTACTGATCTTTGATGTCAGTTCATCCAGCAACGGATAAGCCTCAATTTCTAACTCTGCCGCCTTTTGCAAATGGAACAGAGAATGTTACCAACTAATTTATCAAAAACAAATACCCTATAAAGGGGTAATTGCATTCGGGTAATTCCGATAATATAAAAAACAGAAGTTGGTCTCTGATTTGATTATGATTATGTAGTTTAACTAACCTGGGTGTCAAGAAATGTGCATGCTGCCTCAAGGGCAACTTCAAGAGCCCTGAATTCAAAAGGTAAATAATCAGGGGAAGTGTTGCTACATAAATTTTCAAAATTCCTATTGCCTCTCCTTTGGTTCATGTCAGAATTGTCTGATTGCCAGACCTCGCCCATGTCGCCAACCTCGCCTGCCCCGGCTGTTGTCAACTTTCGTTGGAGATCAATCACATATTGCAACACATATTTATCAAGGGAATTCAAGAGAAGAACCTCATCTGCTGTAATAATACACCGTATCTGCTCTAGATTGACAACAATAGCCTTCTCTCTACCGAGGATTGTTGACGGATAAACAAACACAGGATCGAGAAGACGGAGATCACGGGCAGGAAGATCACATCGCCGCATCATAGTAAACTTGTCTACCTCCATAACCTGAGAGTTTCCAGACGTATCAACACGAATCCATGATTTAAGACCTTGGCCCCGCTTCTTCACCTCCAAAACATCCACCCCTTGAAAAGGATGTCTTCCAGAGGCAGTTGGTCGACCGGCAACCTCTCTCAAGGTAAAAGCTGATGCCGGTTTTGGTGGCAATAACCTCTCTTTGAGATCTGCCATTATCAACGTTCGCTAACTGCTGAAAACATACACAACAAAACAACATCAGCCACTTAAACACAATATCACACATAGGATAGCATTAGTCCACCAAGCCAATGTCTCTGACAAGGGTTTAGAAAAAACCGTCCGCGACTGCAATTAAAACCCTATATCGATCGAAACTGCGAAAACACTGCTTTTTAAAACCCTACTGTCAACAGCAAGACCGTCCTCTCACTAGTTAATTTTGACAAACACCATAACTGCACTATCTAAAGAGCATTGAATGGCGTAAATAATTAAGTTAATAATTATCTAATAAATCTATACACAATAATTATGCTAATATGGCTCACCCAACAGTAAAAATCACTTTTTTTAATGAATAATAGAAATTACCTGGAAGAGAAAATCGCATAATATCCGTGAGTAAGCGAGTCTGGGAACAAAAAGAGGATCGTTTATAATTAAAAATAATTAGGAAGAAATTGAAGGGATATATATACAATAATTAAACGAAGTAGAAGAATAAGAAGAAAAAATGAAAGGGTTATAGAAATGGAAGAAGATGAAAACCCTTAAGAGAGAGTAAATACCTGATTGTGATTGGTAGGCGCCGAATTAAAAAACAATAAGTTGAGTCCGGTGATGTTTTACTTTTTTTTTTTTTTTTTTTTCGTATTCTCAAATTTATGTGTGTCACTCGCTGTGAAGTGAGTTCATGGAATGGAATTGAAGGAAGAAGTGAGTTCATGGAATTCATTATTTATGCAAAACATTTTTTGATCGGCACACCATGCGATAGGATTTTATTTATTTTTTTGGTTTTTGTCAAAAATACCCTTCAACATTTATTACTCTTTTTAAGGCTTTTTCTTTCCATTTTTATTAGGTTATTTATGAAATAAATTAAATTTTTATTAAAAAGATAGGATTTGGAGTCACTCCTTTTTTATATATTATGTCATTTCTTATGTTCTAATCTAACGGTTTAGATTTTATAATAAATAATTAAATAAAAAAAATTTATTTAATAGGAGAGAAAAATGAATAAGTAATTTGTCTTTGTTATTTTTGTCTTTGTTATTTAATTATTCATTATAAATTCTGAACTATTAGATTAGAACATGAGAGATGACATGATAAATAAAAAAAAGGAGAGGATCCAAATCCAAAAAGATAATGTGGTTAATCTATTATATAAGTTAAATATATTGACTATTTAAAAAAAATTAAAATATATTATATATATATATATATATATATATATATATATATATATATATATATATATATATATATATATATATATATATATATATATATATATATATATATATATAAAGGAGGTGGAATCACCTCGACTCGTTGCTTAATGATATTTATATATTCTTCTTGTCTTTTTTGAAAATGTATGTTATAGTTTGAAAGAAGATTGTGACTATACATAGAGGGTTCTTTTGGAAAAAGGTGAAGAATGTGTCTAAGATTGACAAATTTGGATGATGTGTGTAAGCTTAAAAATAGAGGGGGGGTGGTTTATAAATGAGGGGTTTTCGATTGGTTAATGTTGCTCATATGGTGAAAATAGAGGTTGCTTGTATGAATTATAGGGCTCTGTAAGAATATTTTGATAGGTAGATATGGTGATATTATTATTTCTTCTAATAGTGGAAGTAAGGCTAGGGGTTTATGTTCTTCTTTGTTCTGGTGAAAAGAGATATATCTCCTAGAGACTAAAGAAGAAGGTAACTCATATTGTTTTTTGAATGGCAATGCTAGGAAAATAGGGTCGGGTTTTCATACTTCATTTCAAGAGGATCCTTGGTTAGAAACATCCCTTTAAAGTCTAAGCTTATTGGTTTCTTCTCTAATTTTCTCCAACCATGTAGGATGATAAGTGAGATAGGAAAGGTTATCAACAGGATCCTAACTTGGGACACTATATGGAGATGATCCTTCTTCCTTAAAGAGTTTTATGTTCTTGAGGAGTTTCATGTCTTGCATAGAGATGTTACCCTTACCCTGAATTAGAAAAAGTGGATTTGAAAGCATTTTAGTGACTATGCTTTTTCAGTGGCATTCACTTACCTAGTCCAATTGAGGAGTTTGACTACTTCTATGACCCCCTTATTTGGAGTCGTTTGGCTCTGGCTAAGATATTGATTTTTTCTGACAGTTATTGCATGATAGAATTCTTTCCAGAATTAACTGGTTTAGAAGACGGTGTTATCTAATACTAGTAGGCTTTCTTGTCCCTTCTGCGGATTTCAGGTTGAGAATACTTCTCATATTTTTGTTACTTGTGAGATAACCTTGTGAATATATTAAGTTTTTAGATGGTTAGGGTGGCAGATAGTCACTCACTGGGATTTTAGGGTGTTTTTTGAGTTTTTTCCTCTCTTTGGGAGGTAGGGTTAAGTATAGGGGCGATAATCTTATAGTTTGACATGTTGTTATATTTTCTATTTGAAAAGCATGAAATGATGTCATCTTTAATAGTCACAAAAACAACAAAACAAATGGATGAATAGAGTATTTTTTGGCTAGAAAATGGTTTTTGGGTAGGTTAGGGAGAACTCTTGCACTTTCGTGGATTTGCTTCAGAACCTTATCCTCTTCCTACACCTATAACAGATCGAGCGTTTGGCCTGATTTAAAGTGTGGGGTGGATCTTCAATACCTCTTTCATTGGGATCAGATCTACTAATGATGGATTTGATTGGTTTCATCTCTAGCCGGATATTAGCGTAGTGATTCTTTCGTAGTTGCGGTTTTGCTTTTGATTGTCCTCTTGTTTGTGAGACTTCATATTTTCACCGTGTATCTTGTTTTTATTCTATTTCTAGGAACTTATTCTTTGTGACTTTCTATTATAAGTTAATTTCACTACTACAAATAACACATCTCACTTTGGATTTTACCTCAGTTACACTGTCGAGGTAACGAACGACCACATGAAACTTGCTACTTTATCCATCGGTTATGGAAAAACCAAGGTTATAATGGAAAAACTTGTTGTTTCGATCCCTAACAACAACATATTTTTATTTTCAAAAATATGAAGCGCGCGCCACTTTACCTCTTGGTTTTACTTAAAGTCCGAGGTAATAAGTTATGTTGGTATGTCGATTTTAATTAATAACTTAGGGGTTAAATCTTAGTTATTGCCATTTTTTTTTAAAATCTCATTTTGATTGGTTTTATCATGTTTTACACAGAATATAAGATTTACATTTTTTATAAATAAAATATACAAATTTACATTGTTCTCACACTACTATAAATAACACATCTAACATCAGTTTTGTCGACATAGCAACCACAGTTTTCTCCCTGACGACTTCTCTTAGAACTTTATCCCCAAGGCATAAGATAATGACACTCCTGATCTTATCCACCATCTCGGTCTTCTATACTCGTGTAAGCCTTGCAGGCATCAATGCTTCACTCTTCAAAGCATCAATACACTTCTATTGAATTAAAATTGTTTGCATCTTAATTTTCCATAACCTGAAGTCGTTACCGAAAAATTTATCGATCTGCCATCTACTAACCATGGTGCTCACTTTTCAACAATATCTCTTTGTTCCACACTCACCGCACCACTTGTTGTGAATTATTACAAAATTCAATATCAATTTGTGAGGCAAAGAACAATAGCAACCAAAATAAATGGTCTTCAACAATAATAATCCGTACACAGATAATATAACAGAATAAGACAAGAAAAAACTGAAGGTTTGTTTACTCAGTTCGATCAAACGATCTACTCTGGAGGAGAGAGCAGGTCTCCAATTCACTATACTAAGAAAGTTGTTACAAGAGATTACAGATGAGTTACAAAAAAATAGTCTTCGCCTTCAAGTTTCTAAGAACAATCCTAAAGACGCCCAAGTACAACCTTATTTTCTACCCAAGTGTTTCCCTACCTCTCCAACTCTCAATATATGAATCACTCAAGCCCAAGGTGTAATCCAAGGTTTTCTTTGTGCATAGCTGAAATCCTATGCTATACCTTTAAACCCTTGATCTCCCTTATTGGTGAAAACTCTAAGATTGTCCCATACCAAACATTCAACGTACGGACAACACTATTCACCATAAGGACGACACTATTTGCCGACCAATTTTTTTTCTTTTTCTTTTCTCGACTTTCGTCCGATTTTCGCGGTAAATGCAATCTGCAAAATATGTTTTATTTCTCTTCATCAACAAAGGTTTTAATGCACATTTACAACAATTATTTTGTTTTATGTATTAGTTTATGTATGTATTAGTTTATGCATGTATTGGTTTATAATATTATAACAATGTTTTTTACAATATTTAGATTATTTAATGCTTGGTATGCTGTCTTGTAATTGTTTAATTTTCAAAATAATGTAAAACTACATATTAGTTATAATTTAAAATTCAAAATAGTGTAAAACAACATATTAGTTATATTTTAATTTGTAACATTCACGTCCCATATGTTTTTAAAATGTAACAATCACGTCCTTCCAGTTAAAAAATAAAAATAAAAATTAAAATAAAATAAAAAATTAAAATCCACATGTAATTAAAAATATAATAAAATGACATATCATCGCTGTTAAATGCCACACGAGCTCCGTTTGTGCCACATATAGTTTTTTGAAATGGAGATTTTTAAAAAAGTCAACAGCGCAAATGTTACTTAACATAAAGGACTAAAGCATTACAAAAAAAATTTAAAGGACTAACTTGATATTTTAAAATAACTTAACGAATCTAGATATCATTTTTGCCAAAAAAAAAATAATAATAAGCCACCTTGTTAATTTTTTCATCAGTGAACTTTTCACATCGGGTGCAAATTCAGACCCGATGTGAAATCCTTTATAACAAAATTTCATATTATTTACGAAAATTTTCACATCGGGTGCAAATCCAGACACGATGTAAAATCTTTTATAACAAAATTTCATATTATTTACGAAAATTTTTACATCGGGTGCAAATCCAGACTCGATGTAAAATCTTTTATAACAAAA